AAATCTGCTTTCCTTCTGACTATGTTGATCAAACAAAATTAAATCTACTGCGATGTTCTCTGACAAAATAAGAAAACCATAAACACTTCCAAGGAGATGCCATATTCTATTTATTCATATTGCTGTATTACTTTTGAAAAGGTCTGGGAAGTTTGCAGGCACAGTGGGAGGAATTTATCAAAAGTGGAGCAGACGGAAACTGGAGCAGTTGCCCATGGCAACCAATCAGCATCTCTCTTCAGTTTGCTCTGTTGGGATTTGAAAATGAGAGCTAGAAGCTGATTGGTTGCAATGCAAATCTGCTCCTGGATTTGTCCGCTCCAGTTTTGATAAATTCCCCCCATTATGTTTATTTGAGCGCTTTAGTACATCACTCGTTGCCGGAATATGCTGAAGGCTGCACATTGCTTTTGTCCCAATTTATACAGAAAAATATCCTGCGCAGTATATCCATCAGACATAATTCGGTGCTGATTAATGATGACTAGCAATGCCAGGCTTGTGAGTGTACAGTATGTCTAGCACTCTGTGTTTATATACGCATATTATGTGGTCTGACTCATGAACGGTAGACACACCATCCATATTGCTTTGTATCTTTTCATTTCCTAGGAGGAAGGATTTCTTGTGCTTCTGGTGATACGGCAGCCACAACTGGTTTTTAGCTTTGATTGGGATGGAGAAGAGATAGAATCACTGGTGAAGCTTTTTTTTTTTTGTTGGTGCGTGTTGTGAGATTTAGCTTCCAATGGTAGCGCATTAAGGACGCATCCACTCGCTTATGACTTCTTTTAAGGCAGTGGTTCTCAACCTTTCTAGGGCCGGGACCCCTTGGTAATATTTGCCAAGTTGTGGTGACCCCCAAAGGTAAAATTTAGGGATGACGCGGCTGCTGTAGCGCCATCTGGAGGCGTGGCGGGAGAACTGACACTGCTGCGCTAGGAGAGAGCTGAGGAGGACTCTCACCTTGCACAGCGACCCACAGGTTGAGAACCACTGCTATAGGCAAAGACAGGACCGGGCTCTGCAGCTGGAACTAGAAGAATTGGATTTAAAGTGTGTGGCTATATAACGTATGAGGTACATACTCCGCAGTACTGTCACTGATAGGGATGGGCTCGGGCGTGTTCGCAGCTCCACGTGCCGAACTTCAGGTCCCCCTCTGCTGATTGGCAGCATCAGAGGACGGTTGCAATAGCTAGTTTGCTATTGGTTTTTGCAAAGTGAAATAGCCAATAGGAATCTAGCTATGCATTCCTATGGTGGTCTTTTTTTCTTTCTGACTAGGCGACCCCTGACAAATCGTCATTCGACCCCCGAGGGGGTCCCGACCCACAGGTTGAGAACCACTGTTTTAAGGGCTTCCTTGCCCACTTTTATTGAATCCAACTGAAAAGCCCACACAGGTTTACCCTCGCAGGGGTTTCAAACACAAAGTACAGTTTTCTTTCTTCAGCAAAATAGCACTTTCAAAGTCCCCCGACTTTAGGTTGCGTGTTTACCCCACACTTTTCACCACACAGGTGACACACTCCTCAGTCTGCCAGCCACAGACTGGTCCAGGGTGGAGCCCTCCTGACTCCTAAAGAGACCTCCTCTGTCACCCAGGTAGAGACCTGAACATGAGCCAGCATTCTTCTCATAAGGGCTGTGCCCAGGTGCACAATCTTTCGGTGCTGGTTACCACTAAAGCCTGGACCCAGGAATGGAGATTTCATCCCTCCCAATGCTCTTTGGAATCTCCCAGTTCCAGGAACCTAAGCCAAATCCGGAAAACCTGGGAAGAACTGCAAAGCCAGCTCTTTCCCAGTAAACATTTGCACTTTCTGGAACTGCTCAGCCTCCCTGGCTGAGAGACCCGGGTGACTTATATTGCCAAAAGACACCCTGGCATTGCCACGCACTGCCACAGTGTGTGTACACTGGAGAAGTTTTTCTTTTTCTGCTGTCCCGGTGATGTTTCATGGGGAAAGGGGAAATCTCCCCAAAGGGGACAGTGAATGCTTAGCTTAAAATTCTAATTGTTTTTTTTTTTAACTCCACTTCCTGTCCTGGTGATACAATAGACAATAAATATACATTTCTCCTAAGGAGACAGAGTAATAAAAAATAAATCAGGTTTTAACCCTTCCTTCTTATTTTGCTAGGGTTTTATTTTTAGGTACAAAACAAACTCCATGGAGATATTAAAACAATTGTAGTGAGTTGCTATTCTTTATTGTTCCATCTCAGACTAGTTCAGCTTCTGGACCGGGTGCTATTGCTCATCTGCAGAGCATTCTACAGAGAGGTCTATGGGGAGTGTGTGACCTGACTCTGCTGTTTGGCACGGGTGCCTAGATCACAAAACAAGCTGCACAGAATGACAAATCTTTTGGCATGTACCTAATTCCCCACATTTCTATTTCAGCTGCATGTTTAGCCGAATGTCCAGCTTTAACATTTTGTTAAATTACTATAAACTGTTATTTATAGTGTTTTTTTTACATGACGTTTTTATTGAAGTTTCACCGAACATAACATGTCAGCACACAGTCATAAATGGAAGAGATTATTACAAGAAAGCATAACACATATTATTATTTATTTATTATTTATATAGCGCCAACAGTTTGCTCAGCGCTTTACAATGTAAGGAAGACATTACAATTACAATACAATTCTAGACAAGATGGTAAGGAGGGCCCTGCCCCTGAGGGCTTACAATCTAAAGCTGCCCATACACCTGGCGATCATCGGGCGAAACTATTTGTCCGATGATTGAACTGATTTTCGTACGGCGGCCCCATCCTGCCCCGTATATCGCAAGGTTCAATCAGCGGTAATTAAAAGAAAGCACCTGGACGAATTGCGGTAATCGACCGCACGTATTTTCGTCTGCGCATGTGCAGTATAAATCGTACCAATTTTGACGTACGGAAACGCCACCAACCTTGCGAAAATCGACCGAAGTTTTCTAACCTGCTGGTTAGTCAAAAGTCGACAGATTGTACAGTATTTGCGGTTGTACACTGCCCATCAACCTAACGAATATCGGACGAAAATGCGATCGCATACAAAAATCGGCCGGATATTCGTAAGGTGTATGGGCAGCTTTAGTGGGAGGAGCAAGTGATACATGGGGAGGTAGCTGTGTGGGGGATGAATTGTTTAATAAAGAGTTCAGTGGTTAGTTTGAGGTGTGATATAAAGTATGAATGACGAGCCTTTTTGTGGTATAGTGTGAAAAATAAACAGTGAATGGGGGCCCGGGGCCCGATACAGCTTCGGTCTATCTCTTCAATCATATATAGTCAAATTGAACATAGCAGAAAAAGGAAAGGAGTGAAAAGAAAAGGAAGAAAGGGAAAAAAAAAGAAAGAAGCAAGATATAAAACAGATGATGAAAAGTGAGAGATAGGGAGTAGAAAGAAGAGCATAAGGTGCATGTTTTTAAATAGTTGAATGGTTGTAATTTAAATTCATTGGAAATGACAATATATTATTCCTAGATCCAATGTTAATCTCTTTCTCTGAGTGCCTAACTTCCTGTAGATGTTATATAATAAGATTGTGAAATCCTCCCTCCGTATATAAGAAAACAGGAAACCATACATCTAGAAAAAACATAAAATGAAGAGAATGATGTCTTTTTTTCCATAGCTCCCCTTCCAGTGGTATGTTTTCTATAGAAGTCATTTAAGGTAAGGAGGCAATTAGCAAGCAGGGCAGGAAAAGCCTCAGATCTGGTAGTGAAAGCTCATTAACTAGCTCTGTACACGGTGCAGTAATTGTCTGATACTGCTGGGTGGCGCATTCATAACCCTATTTAGCAAATCATTTCTTTCAGCAAATGGGCTCTGCAATTAGCGCAAGTAATGTCAGTTACGTAAGATGTGTTTACTTCTTGCGACGCGCCTGGTTGACACACATGGCAGGGTATCGGGTCAAGGAGAAGGAATAGCAATTGTGCTTCTTAAATTCCAACCCATCCCTCCACCAGTAGTATACACTGAGTGACCAGATTATTATGCCCACCTCATCAGTACTTGGTTGGGCCGCCTCGTGACTCCACGAGATGGTGAAAGGTGATGGCGAGGAATCTGACACGGCACTGTTGCCCTTCTGTTGTCTTGTACCAGTCTTGCCCCTCCCCCGTTCTGCCCTAACATTGACTAGTCGCTGACGGCCACAATTCGCACGTTCAGACCCAGATTTTCGGCTGACAATCCGGTCTTTAAACACTTTAACAACAGCTGCTCTTGAACATTTAACGAATTCTGCTGTTTTGCTGATACTCGCTCCGTGGCTCCGAGCGCCAACAATCATCCCACGCTCAAAGGCTGTTAAATCGCGTTGTCTCCCCGTATCTTCAGAAACAAATCACTTCTACTGTCGTGGTAAACAACCTGCTTCCCTATTTATAATGGTCTGGCCCTCTAGCAACTTCAGCGCGTAATTATAGCTAATTTGCCTACAAACGTCAGGTGGTAATCTGGCCACTCAGTGTAGATTATCATGACTGCCGGCAGTTTGTATGATGTGCTGGCCATGTTTTTTAGATTGGAGAAAATATCCCTTCTAGAATTCCTACTAATGTCCGACTAGAGCTACTATGACAAAACACAATCAGGGCTATTCAACAACAAGTGCAGTATTCTGTAAGGAGAATTTATCAAAACTGGAGCAGACAAAATCTGGAGCAGCGGTGCACGGCAACCAATCAGCTTCTCTCTTCAGTCTGTTCAGTTAAGATTTGAAAATGAAAGAGAGAAGCTGATTGGTTGCCGTGCACAGCTGCTCCAGATTTTGTCTGCTCCATTTTAAACAGTAGGTTTACAATATTATTTCTTCCCTTTGATTCCCAAAAAAACATTGTACAGTTGCTTTGGTGTTTGCCAACATAAAGAGATGGTTTTAGAAGTTATAAACAGTGCCTCATGTCATCTCACTTATGATTCCTTACTTAATCGTAATGGCTGACGACTGACTGATGTTTATATTATATTATGTACTTACAGGCAAACTGAAAGGGCCGGCTTCCTCCCAGCCTCCACCCCTGAGGTACTCAGAGATGGAGGCCCCATTGGTCTGCCTGGATGAGGAGTTTGAGGATGTGAGGTCCTACTCCGAGGACAGAGAGGAGAAGTCAAGGAGCATCTACATGTCTCCATCTCGACATCTGGAGGATACCTCCCTCTCTGAGCTAGAGAACTTCAGCTCCGAAATAATCAGCTTCAAGTCCATGGAAGACCTTGTCAATGAGTTTGACGAGAAGCTGAATGTTTGCTTTCGGAACTACAACACCAAAACGGAAAACTTGGCCCCAGTAAAGAATCACCTGCAGATCCAGGAAGAGGAGGAACGGCTGCGGGATGAAGAGTAAGTCAAATATTTATATCAGATTTCATTTCATTATTGCCCGATGATCAGCGACATAGCTGACAGTTCTGTATATTGAGGGCTTGTTCACAGCGTGTCCAGACCAGAACAGTTTGTTCCCGGACCAAAAAAGCATCCCAATGTATTCCCATGGTATTTCTGGGCTCTGTTCACACCAGCGCAGCCCGTTCTGCCCGTACAACTAACCTTGTTGTATCAATAAATCACAATGTTGCTCCAGGTCGGTCCGCACGTCCAGGGCCGGATTTCCCACAAGGCCAACCAAGGTCGGGCCTCTTGGCAGCAGGGAGTTGAGGGGCAGCAGGGGTGGAGAATTATTTTCTCATGATACCCAGGCGGGCAGTTGTTTTCTACATTTAGCCCTGGTTTGGCCAAGCAGAGCTAAATGTACAGCAGGGAAGCCACCGCTTGTTTTGTACAAGTGATCTCGGCGACATTGTATGCAGCCTGCAGGTCTGCCATTCTCCATGGGGGGGGGGTTTGGCTGGTAGGGGGTGCATTGAGGAACCAGGCCTTGGGGCAGCAGAGAAAGTAAATCCGGCCCTGCGCACGTCCTTTGCCCAGTCAGGTGCTAGCACAGCTCGTCAACGGTAATACTGTTGCAGAAAAAAGATATGGGAACACCAACATATTCCAAAAGCGGCTTCTTTATTCATCTCTAAAATCAGTTACATAGGAGATGATTAGAAACTTCTAACATGTTTCAGGCACACTGAATAATAACTTTGTTGCTCTTTCTGCTATGCCGAGTTTACAGTGTTTTGTGTATCATTAATGTATGTGTAATGTGGTGAACAAAGCTGTTAGTTCAGAGCATTGCCTAGTTGTGTGCAGGTAGGAATCCATGATCACATGTGTTTCTTGCAGGCTGGGACTTCTGGTTCCACTGCGGTTGGTAAAATGCAAGTTGTTGAAGTATTTTAAATTGTGTCTATTCACACAGGAGCTGTTGTCTGCGCGTATTCGCGCCGGCCGAATACACGCAAAGCCGCTCTAAATATAAAAAACAATGCACTTTAATGTGCATTGTTCAGACTTTTGCAAAGACCGGGCGGTACGAAACCGCACGGCCCGCAAAATGGTACAAGCGCGATAATACGGTGGATCCCGCTATAAAATAGCTGCAAACTAGCGGAATGCGCGCAGATTAAAATGTTTGTGTTTTCGACCCGCACGGTCTTCCACACGGAAAACCGCACGGGTAACGCAAACGCTATATGTGAATGGCGCCTTAGATTCTTTGCCTTGTTTCCTGGCAGATTTTGCTGTTTTGTATTGAATCTGCTGGCAGTACTCTGCGTGTCTGCGGCACAAACATCTGCCATGCTTGTCTAATTATTGAATATAATGGATGGGAAGACTACAACAACAACAAGAGCGTCTGAATGTGTATTTCCTACTGTCAGAGCTGCGCTGACCCCGAGGCACCTGCTGGCCTGTTTCTTGGACAGCACAGTATTTACCGTTGATTTTCTTCTGTCTCGCCTTTAGCTCTCTCTAGCGCTAGAAGCATGCAGCCGTGTGTTTCCGCAGGCTCTTGACTGCTTTACATGATGTTTCGTTATAGGCTGTAGGCTGCTTTTCATAATGTTTTTTTTTTTTGTTTAAAGCTTAAAGTGACATTAAACCCTCAGATTTTTTAACATAAAACAATACTGTAATGTGCACCTTACTGTAATCCATGGTTGTTTCCCTTCTCTTTGATGCTCTTCCTTTTAAATCCGTATCTCTTCTCATGCTGGGCAGAACTTCTGTTTTGCAGCAGACTGCCTTGTCTCTGGAATGGATACATGGTGTCTGTGTGTAGGTTTGCAACCTGAGCCAGCACTACAGGAAGAGGCAGTCAGCTGCAAAGGGAAGTTCTCCCCCAGCATGAGAAGACATGAGGATTTAAAAGGAAGAGCAGCAAAGAGAAGGGAAGCAACCATGGAGTACAGTAAGGCGCACATTACAGTATTGGTTTATGTTAAAAAATCTGAGGGTTTAATGTCACTTTAATAATCAGGCAGCGTGGCTGCAGACCAAATTGGCAGATCTTGTAGGAAGGGGCACCGCACTATCAGCCATGGTCTTTCTAACAGGCTTCATGAGCACTACATGCAGACCTGATTACTACAGGGGAGGACAAAGTAATATTGAATTCAGGAGCCAATCTGTCCATTCCCAGAGCCAGCAGGATTTTTTTTAAAGGAGCCACTTCCATAGACAAATGGGTGCCAGCAGTAATTTTTAGGGTTTGTTCGCACCAGCATATTTTGAAATCATTGTATACGTCACGGTGCCGTCCGCGTTCCCTGCGAGCACCCACCTGGACTCCATTGGTTAAATAATAACCGGTAAGGAGTGCAGCAAGACACATCTGTACTTTGTTCACACCAGCAGTCACGCTCAACCGCAGGGCTGCTGGTGTGTGTGTGCCAGGACATTGCCGATCACTTGCTCAAGCTTCATCGCACTGTTTCTTTTTTTTTGTTAGAACTTTATTGAAGTGACATTCCATTAAGTTCGATAGGCTCACTGCAATGTGTGAACCGCGCCTCTCTGTGCTTAAAAAAAGGACTGCATGCCGTACTTATTTTAAGCTCACACCACGGAACACAGTGGTGCGAACTGTTTTCACCCATGACAAGTCAAATTGCCCTGTCTTTCGTTCGGGCTGCGCTGGAAGAAACGGCCAGCGCAGTCAACACAGATGGTGTCAACGAGCCCTAAAGGTACATAGACTAGTTGGATTTATCCAGCCCTGATATATAATATAACTAATACCATTAGCTGCCATCGGGGGTGGATTGACAACACATGGGGCCCCCAGGCAATACAAAATTATGGGGCCCCCTTGTGCTTCTATCATATACAAGCCACACCCATCCACAAACCCCACCCACATATACATTGTTATGTTACAAAAATAATTTCTCCACATTATTTTCAAAATAACAGGTCTATTCACTAAGAGGTGCATTCCAGGGGAATTGGTAGGAGAATTTCAAAATCTAGACCAATATAGTTGATTTGGAAATTGAGCTAAATGCCAGAATTCTTCTGGTTTGGTTATTTTGACTGAGATTCTTCAATTCTGCCAATTATCCTATGTGAATTGAAGGAGGATTAGTAGGAATTGACAGGGCAACTGAATAATCTAGGACTGCAGCAGGGGTTTTGACGCATATAGCCCGTGTGGTATCCAAAAACCCACTCCTTTATGCCCCCATGCGTGTGGTAAGGCCCCCAAATGGTCAGTCTGCCCAAATGGTTAGTCTGTCCATGACCAGAACCAAAGCATGGCCAAAACCAATGCCAGGCAAATCTCAGACCAGCAGCAATGCACTACAGATCTCATACCAGAACCAATGCATGGCAGACTGCAGATCAAACCCAATGCACGGCAGACCGCAGACCAAAACCAATGCACCTCAGACCAGAACCAATGCACGGCAGACCGCAGACCAAAACCGATGCACAGCAGACCTCAGACCAGAACCAATGCACGGCAGACTGCAGACAAGAACCAATGCACAGCAGACCTGAGACCAGAAACAATGCAGGGTAGACCGCAGATAAGAACCAATGCACAGCAGACCTGAGACCAGAAACAATGCAGGGTAGACCGCAGATCAGAACCAATGCACAGCAGACCTTAGACCAGAACCAATGCACAGTAGACTGCAGACCAGAACCAATGCACAGCAGACCTTAGACCAGAACCAATGCACAGTAGACTGCAGACCAGAACCAATGCACAGCAGACCTAAGGCCAGAAGCAAGGCATTGCAGATGGGTGTTCCATGAAATCAAATTCGCAGCTATGTGTACCTGGGATGGCAGTAACAGGTCAGGACAGCGCAGCCAGTAATTATCCTTGATGCAGACCCCCAGACCTCCTGGTTCACCACCCTAACAGTCGTCTGCAGGTTGAAAATGGAGTCTGGGATTCCTCCAGCCAGATTCCCCCCATTTACATCTTTCTGCTCGGCTGCCCCGCTCTCCGGCTCCAGGATGAAGCTGAAAGTCTCCTTGCCCAGCAGCAGATCTGTTCCAGCACTCCCTGAGCAGGACTGTCAACTATAGTCTCCCCTCCTGCCTGCAGGTGCCTGGGCAGCTCCAGGGTGATGCTGAGTCTCCTCGCCCATAAAGCTCCAGCGCGCCCTCAGCAGCCTTAAGCGGCATTTTTGTGTGGTTTTTTTTTTTTATATCACTGTGCAATAATGCAAACGTTTACCTGTGTTTTTTGCCTGGGGAAAGCCACCATGTGATTGTGGCATATACAAGTCTGTGTAAAATGCATTTTTTTGTGTATCCGTTAATTTCAAAGAGCATTTCTGTCAAAACATTGTGGTTGATCATGCTGCAATGCAGTGCAGGTGTTCAAACACGGCACTGTTGAAAACAATTTATTTTTTCCTGCGGTGCACTTTTTGCAATATAAAGTGCATGTTGTGTGGGATAAGTGTGAACTGGACATTGGGTTATGCACCCCATTCACACTGAGCGACATGCAAATCGCGCGACTTTGAGCGACGTCTTCCTATTGGGCTGTATGCAATCAGGAGCAATATCGCTCAAAATCGCTCTAAAAAAGGGTCATGTAGGAGCGACAAGCTACCAGCGACGAGCTACAAGCGATATTGAGCGACATTGAGCGACGAGATGTGAACAGCTACATTGAAATGTATTGGTGAAGCTACGTAGAGCGATATAGCGCGGAAATATGAGCGATATCGCTGCAAAAATCGCTCCATAAATCGCTCAGTGTGAATGGGGCCTAAAAAAGGGTCATGTAGAAGCGACAAGCTACCAGCGACGAGCTACAAGCGATATTGAGCGATATTGAGCGATATTGAGCGACATTGAGCGACGAGATGTGAACAGCTACATTGAAATGTATTGGTGAAGCTACGTAGAGCGATATAGTGCGGAAATATGAGCGATATCGCTGCAAAAATCGCGCCATAAATCCCTCAATGTGAACGGGGCCTCACTCAGCTCTCCTGAGCTTCTTGAAGTGAATGAGTTCTAGGAGTAAGCAGTGCCAGATTCTGGCCGATCGTAGTAACCCGAGGTCAGTGCCGTGGTGGGAGTTCATAGATTGCTGGATGCCAGGACAGCTGCTCATCTGTGCGTAGCAATCTGGCCTGTGGTCCTTGCTACAGTGCTTGGGGATCAGTGTTGCTGGATGTCTGCCCACCGGCCAGCTTCCCTTCCGCCCCATTGATATTTCCATAGAAACCATCCATCAGCCGCTCTTCTCTGACTGACTTTTATGCAGCTGTAAAATCACTAGGTCAGGGCCCGGGCCTCCAAACCTCATGTAGTAGATGCAGCTGGTAAATTGCATTTTCCTTGGCAGGGTTCTGCTTACGTTGGTACAGAAAGGTCACCTATAGGGATGCAAACCTGTTAGGCATTCAAACTCTTTGAAAGGTTTCAGTAGTCTACATGCAATGGTAGGGCTGTATAATTTTCTAGATATAACCCATTATCACAATTGTTTCTTATCTCAGACTTATTTTGGGTAACTTAGCTGATCTCCTTAAAGTGACATTAAACCCTCCGATTTTTTAACATAAAACAATACTGTAATGTGCGCCTTACTGTATCCATGGTTGTTTCCCTTCTCTTTGCTGCTCTTCCTTTTAAATCCCTATCTGTTCACATGCTGGGCAGAACTTCTGTTTTGCAGCAGACTGCCTTGTCTCTGAAATGGATACATGGTGTCTGTGTGTAGGTTTGTAACCTGAGCCAGCACTACAGGAAGAGGCAGTCAGCTGCAAAGGGAAGTTCTGCCCAAGCATGAGAAGACATGAGGATTTAAAAGGAAGAGCAGCAAAGAGAAGGGAAACAACCATGGATTACAGTAAGGCGCACATTACAGTATTGGTTTATGTTAAAAAATCTGAGGGTTTAAATGTCACTTTAAGGCCTGCTTCACACCTGAGCGCGAAAACGCACAAAAACACACATTTCAATGCAAGTCAGTGATGACTGTTCATGCACATACGAAAATGCCTGTCATGCAAAAAGATGCAGGAGCTATTCTCAGGCGGATGCAGCGTAGTTTTGGTCCCATAGACATCTCCATGCAGGGAGAAACGCGCATTATCTGACCTCCCCGGCGGTATGATTTCTTTTTTGTCATGTCATTTTTCGATCTATTTATTTTCGAATTTTTTCCATCTTTGACGTTTTTAAAAAAAATATCCCGCTGGTTCCGCCCCCCTGTGACGCGTACGCTCGCAAGGGACGGAACCAGGGAGACGGATGCCGGCATGGCATTGGCCGGAGAACACAGCGCGGCTCGAGGGACAAGGTAAGTAAATGCTATGCAGCATTCCCGAGTGTAGCTCGGGGTTACCGCTTATGGTATGGAAAAGTAACCCCGAGCTACACTCGGGAATACCGCTAGGGAGGTTAAAAGCAAAAATGCGCAAAAACGCCCAAAACTGGTAACGCTTAGCTGTGCACCTAGCCTCAAGCAGACACCCACAATATTTTGTGGCCTGCGTCTGCACCCTATGTTGCGTCATTATGACTCACACATGAAGCGTAAGACATTTTGTGTTGTTTCATGGAAAGAGGGTTTTTTTTTTTTTCCTGATTCAGACCTGCTATGCGTGACTGTTAGTATGGGGACCGTTTAGGCTAGGTTCACACCTGGGCGACTCCTGACCGCGCGGCAATCGTGCACAAAATCGCGCAGATTGTCGCGCAATCACGGAGTCGCACCCCAGTCGCGCTGGGCGTATCGTGCAGTTTTTCCGCCGCGATTCCGCCAGTGAACACGTAAAAAAGCTGCGCGTCGTGTGTCATCGCAAAAAAAGGTACTTGTACGGATGTCACCCCATTGGAATCAATAGGACCGCGTGGCAACCGCTGTGTGCACTAGCACACCATCGCGGGGGCCCCGGGACGTGCGTCCCGGGTGTCGCTGTGGTGTGAACCTAGCCTGAAATAGAGATTTTTGTTGTTATTGTGACCAGGATAAGGACCACCATTCCACAATAAACAAGGTACTGTATATGTATTTAGCTAAACCAGTTTCAAGCTATACAATGGCACAATCCCAATGATTCTGCTGACATGGCGAGTATGGACAGAAATCATTTGCAGCGGATCAATAGTGACTGTTGGAAGCAGTGGATGGGTTGTAAACTTGTCGGGATCGCTGGTGTTCTCCTCTATGAATGCTCTTCCATATTGCTCTATGGGCAGCTCCTCCAGCATGCGCCACCGTCCAGTACTGAACATATTGGGTGGAGGTAGAATGCTGAAGGAACAATGGGAAACCCTCCTATTGGTGTAACTTTACTGGATGATTGTCCAGTTCAATTTCCTTTTTCCCTTTATTTTATATCTGTATTCTTCTCTCATTGGGCAGGTGAGGGATATATGTAGATAATGGGACTTTTAAAAATATATTAACATTGTAGGCTATTGAATGTTAATGCTGTTTAGCTTAAAACTGGCCATTACCCTTGGAGATATGCTATTGTTACAATTAAATCCATTCAGTAGAAAAGCTTGAGGCCAGCATAACAATAATTGCTGTCAGCCATTAAAAGGACGCGTGTCCTCTCTGTTATACCTAAACTGTATTATACATGTTCATTCTATAACTTTAAGTGGTGGTTCTGTTTGTTCTCTTCGCTGTGTGTGTTCGGCTCATCTCATCAAGAAGATCTTTTACTGCTGAAGATATCTCTGCCCTGACATCATTATATTGTCTCCAGGGCAAGGCAGGCCCATTCGCCATGCACTGACAAGTGTCTTTCATTCCCAGGGTCTGGGACGCCCTCACGGATAACTACATCCCGCTAACTGGTGACAAATGGAGAGAGCACAACGAAGAGCTGCTGAATGGGAACTTGTCTGATTCCGAGGTATTTCCATTTTTTGTTTTGCTGTATATACCTTTTTAGAGAGTAATACACATGCCTTTGTTTATAGTTTTATATATATATATATATTGTGTATATATAT